GCTGGCCAGTGCTTGCATCTGACTGAGAGACGACTACAGGGAGGGGGGGACATGATGTGATGGGTGGTGGGTCGGTTAACGGGGCGGTTGGCGGGTAGGTAGTTGATTGGGGTGAGTTGAGGTCGTGACATACATACATACATACATACATACATACATACATACATACATACATACATACATACATACATACATACATACATACATACATACATACATACATACATACATACATACATACATACATACATACAGACACACAGACGCACCTGGCTGCATGACGCCTGGCTATAGCTGGGACCGGCAGCAGCAGCAGCAGCCGCTGCCGCCACGAGCCCGTCCTCATCCTCCGCCACGGGCCCCCCGGCTGCGGCCCGCAGCTGCTGCAACAGAATGAATAGAAAGCCGCGAACAGCCACCAGCCTACAAAAAGGATGTGTGTTTATGTGTTGGGAAGCGGAGTCGTGTGTAGTTTACAAGGATTATCTGACCGGGCCTGACACTGGCCACAGGGGCTGCTACACTGCCCCAACGAAAAGACCGCCTAAGCTCTCTCCCTAAGCGGACGGGAGAGGGCTGCTAGAGCGGCCTCTGGCCCCCTTCTAAGCAGCCGAGAGCCGCAGGTCCGCTAGTTGTATGTTGGGGGGGGGGGGCCGGTGAAAAAGGCTGTGAGAATGTGAGTGTGCCTCTGAAGGAGGGTTGGCTCCTTACATCACAAAATACAATTCAACAAATTCCGAAAACATGTACATCCCCCCCTACGCACCCCCAACCCCCCACCTGCACCCCCCCCACACACACACCTGCTCGCTGCCTCTCTGGCGAACATGACCTTCCTCAGAAGCATCACCAGATGGTTAGCCAGGTCCTGACGAGTGCGAGCCAGAGGCCAGCAGCCCAGCAATAGGCCGAGAGCGGAGGGCGCGGGCAGGAGCAGGAAGTTCTGGAAGGTGTCCTGAGGGGAGGTGTTCGGCGGGGTAAGGGGGTTTAGTGGGCGATAATGGGGCTAAACTCAGCCGATGGTGCAAAATAAAAGAAAAACTATGAACGTCGGAATGACCCACAGCCGAGGCGTATAGCAGTGGTGGATGCGAATGTGGGTGTGGGTGCAGGTCTGGTTTGAAGGTTTTGGATGGAGGGATGCGGGCGTATTGGATGCAATGGTGCAAAGGATTGGCAAAGGATTGAAGAGGGCAGCCAGACTCTTATGCTGCCACTTTCGCACTCGCAGATGCACGTGGGAAACCCGGCCCCCCCTCCCCACCCTCCTTTCCGGACCTCCCCCCTCCTTCCCTTTCCCCCTCCTCCTCCTTCCCTCCCCCCTTCACCTTCAGTCTGGCGGTATGCTCGTACAGCAGCGCCGGGTACCTCGCCACCAGGTTACTCAGCAACACCACCGCCGCAAGCGAGAGGTCCTGGGGTCCCCCTGCCCCCAGCGCCACCCCGCCCAGGCCCGCCACCCCACCAACCCACGGCGCCGTACTGCTGCTGCCTAGCGCCTGCTGACACAGTCGCAGCACATCGGGTCGAGCTTCCCGGTGGGTTTCGAAGGCGGCCTGGGGACCAGAAAGGTGGGAATCACATAATACGAGGAGCAAAAACGTCAACTGCCGATATCAGTTCCCAGGGGGAAAGGGAGGGCGCTTGGGAATTGTGTGTATATGTACGTATGTATGGATGTCGTTACAGGATGGTTAAGCTTCACCAACGGCCCCCTTTTCCCGAGGCAGTTCCCTGCTCTTCCCTGCTAGAGGGGCACCCTAATCCGTATGTATGTATACGTGCAAGGATTTCACACCTTCGACCTTGCGTTACCCAACCCAACAAAGGTGCTTAACGACGAGGGAACCCATAAATACGAGTTATAGGCTATACAAAGGCATGCATGCAAGTCATATACACAGGGTGCGCACACTGACCCAACCAACCAACCAACCAAACGACCAACTAATTGGGATGCAATCTCACTACTGACGGTAGTTTTACCGTTACCTGCAGCAGTTGGATACCCAGGAGAGTGCTCTGAAGCGCGGCGGAGCCCCGTTGGGGGGGTGGGGGACCCGCGGGCTCCCAAGGGGCCGCTGAGTCGGCAGCGGGGTCTCGGGCAGCAGCGCCGGGGCCTGTCCGGTTGGGGGTCGGGTGCGTGTTTTTAACCGTCTCGATGCGCTTTTTGCTGTGTGTTTATGCAAGTGCGGGACTGAATGGGACGAGGCTAATGGGTGGCGCGGTCGTGGGCAGGTTGATGCACGGGGTCGCGCATGAAGCGCGGCAAGTGGGGCGTCGGAAAGGCGGGTAGAAGAGAGCGTCAACGTATATAAAAGGACAACATGGAAACGTTTAATGTAAAAGATCAAATGTATGTAAGCTTTGATCAAGAGTACATACTACTGTAGGAGAGCTTCTGTTGCTTTTCCTGCGGGTGGGTAGACCTCTGAGATCCAGAGAAACATCCCTAGGTTGCCTTCTGGCACCGGCAAGTGCTCCTTTTTTTCAACAACATAAAGCCCATCCACAGGCATTGCTATTCCCACTCATACTCCATGTATATATGTGTGTATATATTATACGTGAAGCGTATTACATATGTATTGATATATCAATACACACACGCACAGAACAAGCAACACAGAAGCGCGCCGCGTCATGCCAACTCTTGCCCCATACTGCACACTACTACCCCCCTCACAGCCCCATAAGCTTCCCTCCCCTCACCCAAACACGCACTCACCCGCCAGTAATAATACCCCCCCCTGACACCTCCCTCCCCAATACCATCGGGCCCCAAACCCACCCCAGGCGCGTACCGAGCCCAGGTGAGCAGGAGGGGATGTAATCATCCTCACCCAGCGCCGCAATAATATGGCTATTGACCGTCCATGTCCCCCTGGCTTTTACGGGCGGGGCCCCCATTTGTGCGGAACTTTTAACTTGCAATTTGCAAGTTGTAACTGCAAACCCACCCACCTCTGTGCTGCTGTTGATACTGCTGTTGCCTACCCTGCTGCTGCTGCAACAGCGGCGGCGGCGGCAGCGGCGGCAGCTGTCCACGCTGCTGCTGCTGCTGCTGCTGCTGCCTTCGCGCCCGCTTGCGCACCTCCGCCGCCGCGGCCGCTTCCGCCTCCGCCGCTGCCAGCGCCGCATCATTGAGCTTCACCAGCGGCAGCAGCTCCTCGGGTGGACATCCTGCCATTAGGGCAGCACCCAGGGCTAGGATGCCTGGAACCACGACCTCACCCCCCACACCGCCGTACCTGCCGGGAAAGATGTACGACAGGAAGCGGTATAACGCAAATCGCAGGAGTAGCTGTAAGTAATTAAGAGGGATATTTTGCAACCGCAGAAACAGAAGCCATGGCAGGAAGAGGAGGACGAGGAGGGGGCGGGTAAGGAGGAGGAGGGTAAGGATGGGGGAAAGACGAACCGCAGGAGGGCGGTTAAGGAGGGGGAGTACCTCAGCAGCGGCCAACAACACGGGCGACAACAAAGCCAACACACATTCACACACACACACACACATGTGCGTCGATCCCTCGCTCTCGCTCCTTCTGCCATTCCCCCACCTCCTCTTCCCTTTCTCTCTTCACCTTCCTCCACCTTCACTCTACGTCCAACCTGCTTTGGAGGTCAGGTCGGCAGTTCATTTTGTTTTGCTACGTTCTCGCATCATACACACCTTCACATCCCATTACACACCACCATCACCACCAAACTCATAGAGCCCACCATTCCATCCGCCTTAACACACCTGGTGGCCCTCAGCAGTGCCGTCCTCAGTTGCTGACCCGTGGGTCGGGGCAGTTGGGGCATGGAGGAGAGCCAAGCGCTACGGCCCCGGATTGTGTCCCACTCGAATGCCGTCACCACCATGGCCTGATTGGCGGGGGGAGGGAGGGGAAAGACGAACCACGAACGAATGAAGCTGCTGCCAAGGAAAGAGGAACGGGGAGGAAGGTGGGAGGAAGGGAGGAAGGGGAAAGACAAACCACGAACGAGTGAAGCTGCTGCCAAGGAAAGAGGAAGGGGGGAGGAGAAGGGGGATGAGGGGGTAAGACGAACCACTGACGATTGAAGGGGCCAGGTGGTAGAAGGAGGGCGGCGGAGGAGGGGGAGGAGAAGAGGGGGAGGAGGAGAAGCGAAAGACATGATGCAAGAAACATAGAGATCCTGAACTGCCCCGAGGTCCAAAACTCTAGCTGAAGTAGGGCTCCAGGGTGGGTGATGCAACCGGGCAACTGTACCTTCCCCTTCAGTTTGGGCCGAGTTTCCGCCCCAAAGCTTTGGGGGGAAAGCTCGGCACAATCTGAAGAGGGAGGTGTGGGAGTGGGAAATATATGCAGCAGCGGGGCGGGAGAAAGGGGGATGTGAATACCCGCCCGATGGAAGGCGCCAGGGAGGGGAAGGCAAGCAGGCGGCCAGGCATCTCAAGGCTGTGAGACAGAACTGGATGGGACAGAACCTCCTCCAGTCTTTTTCCTTTTAGAAATACCGAAAATACATCTTTCTTGGCAGATTCCTATTTTACATAAAAGTTAGGAAAATATTGATGATTTGCAATTTTTACTATATTCCTATTTCCAGAATCCTGTTTGTTTGGATCATCCTAAAATCATTCTCCATATTTTGCTCAAAATCCACAATTGAAAGATATAAGAGGGAAAAATAGAAATATGGCAGGAGGGGAAAATCAGTGCCGTTCAGAGAAGGGAAAAGGTGCGAGATGGGGAGAGATGTAGAGAGAGAGAAAGGAGGGAGAGAGAGAGAGGGTGAAGAGGGTGTGAGGGAGAGGGAAAGCCGCTCCGAAAGGGCTTCGAGAGTTATGTGATGTGTGGTGCGATGCTATGTGATGCGTGATGCGATCACAATGCCAATAAGCGGGATATGGCAGCCCTGGTTCCGCCCCCCCACACCCCCTTAGGGTTTACTCCTCCTCCCCCCGCCTCCTCACCTTGAGAAGGCTGACCACCTGGCTATCCAGTTTGTGTTGCCGGGCCAGAGTGAAGAGCAGCAGCAGACAGAAGGGACTGGGGGCTGCGGAGGAACACCGCACGGAGCGGAGGAGCTCCTGAAAGAGGTGGGGGAGGGGGGAGGGTTGGGAAAAGGGGGAGAGGGGGGAAAGACGAACCACGAGTGAGAAAAAGCTGCTGCTACGGAAAGAGTGCTGCGGCAGAAGGGGGAGAGGGGCTGGGGAGAGGGGGAAAGACGAACCACGAACGAGTGGAGCTGCTGCCAGGGCAAGAGTGTACCAGACGTAGAACTGACCAAAAGGCGTTCTTGAAGATGCGGCGACCTCGGGATGACGTAGTGAAGATGTCGGACAAAGCTACCTACCTAGCCGCCAACACTAAAATAAGCGCAGAAGAAAAGCAGTAATGCCAAGCCGTAAAGAAGTTAAGGTAGGTGTAGAGGCGGCGGAAAAGTAGTAAAAACACTGCTGACGTGAAGCCGGAATAAAGTTTGCCGCCGGCCTGGCGGCGGCATTGACGAGGTTTGGCCAAGAACTGGCTGATTAGCTGGTAATAAAAAGCTGGTGATATGCAAGTGCTCCTCCCAACCCCCCAAAAAACGTGCGACCAACCCGACCAACCCGACTATCCTAGTCCGGAGAGGGGGGAGAGGGTGTGTGTGTAAATCTATTGTAGGGTAAGGGGCAGTAGTAAGGGGGCGAGGTAGGCGGAATAGCCAAGTAGGGGACGTGCGGGTAGTACTGGACCTCGTCCTGGTTTACGCGGGTACGTCACTCTTCCCCCCCGACCCACCTCCGCTAGCGCGCTGTCGTACTTGAACGCGTCGGCGATGATGACGAGTGCCGTACCCTCGACGTTCTGCAGTACCTGCGATGGCGGGCCCCGGGCCCCGCCAGCACCGGCTCCGGGGGCAGCCGAGTCTGGTGCCTTGCAGTGCTGGGCTTCAAGCCTGTCGAATAGCGCCAGAACGCCCTGGGCAGGCAGGGGGCGAAGGCGGGCGAGGAAGAGGGGCAATAATACACAAGAAGCAAAGGGTCAACGGAGGCGGCGGGTAGAAGGAAGAAAACACCAAATCCATCCATCCATATGCACGCATACATACATATATACATACTTACATACGTACATGCATACAGCCATACATACATGCATGTGCATGGCAAGCATTCGCATCCCCAGCTGCTTCCTCTCCCTCCCTCTCCCTTTCCCAATCTCTGGCAACTTCCAATCACCCTCCCTCCCCCCCTCCCTCCGTCCCTCCTTCACCCTCTCTCCCGCTCTCACCCTCAGCACCAGCGCCCGCTGCCCCAGCGCCGCCAGCCTCAACAGCTGCCTCAGCAGGGCGGGCAGGGCGGCGAGATCCGTACAGGCCCCACACACCGACAGTGACTTGGCCACCACACAGTGGAGCTGTTGGGGGGTCCTGGGGGGTGTTGGGGGGGGATATGTGTGTGTGTGTGTGTGTGGTGGAGGGGTTGAGTGGTGCGGATGGGGAATCCCGGATTGTGTGCTGGGAA